TGTCTTTATAGAGTTTAAATAAGCTAGAATATCCTTGTTTTCAACATGAGCAATGTCGTGTTTTACTACTAATAAAAAGATTCATTATTGGAAAACTTAACTTCATTAATAGGAATAACAATCTCTTTCATAATATCTTTTACTATTTCAATTACCTCATCGTGTTAATACTTTTTTATCATTAAATTAGTTCGTTTGTCATGAACGTTCTTACTCAAGATGGTCTACGACACTCAAATAGGGAGCTGCAGTGCTTGTAAGAGAAAACTTACTGCTATTTGCACCCAGTTTAGCAGAAGATTTTGTCTGTATTGAAGATATAGCTCTTCTTGCTATTTCCATGGCTGTTTTGATGATGTCATCATCTAGAGGAGAGAGTGGCTCTGCAGCACCAACAGCATCATTCGAAGGCTGAATGACACTGGTCCCATCTGAGGAGGAAGCATGACATGAAGTGCAAGGGGCTGTCAAACATGGACAAGCATTTGGGCAATGGGAAAAGACAACATCAGGACGAGAAGCTATACCTGCTGTGGTTGGATGTTCCTGAGAAGTAGGATATGCAACTTCCTGAGTGCAAGCAATAGAACCATCACCAGAATATAGGTAATTCCAGCTACCAAATTGACTGAGCTGCTCCAGAATCTTTTGCCTTTTCTCCTCAAGTTCGTAGTACTGGCCGAGCAATCGGTTATAGTCCTCTGCCCCTTGGGAACCAGAATACCATCTTTGTGCATCTTGGGCATCTTCCACAGGCAAAATTTCTGAAGAATGTATGTTGTATTGAGGTGCACATGAATCTATGAAGTGCTTTTCTTCTGCTTCTGGAAGATTTTTGACCACATCCATCTCGGGCAAGGCAACGTTACTGTTCTGTTCTGTCTCTCTCTGTCTTCTTATAGGACAATTAACAACAGAAGACACATAACTCAGAACTGAGAGTGTATATAATGTGAAGGATAAGTAGTCAGAATATGACAGAATATTTGTTAGTATCAATATCAAAATAAAGATCATCAACAAATCTTCATAATTTGTTGAAATTAAATTGTACAGTTTTCTATCAGGCTTTAGATAGCAGTGCAACTCACTAATATGAAAACACAGAAACACTTGCCGGCTGCACAATTACTTGAATAAAATTACGATCATCATGCTACACTAAATGAAAATAAATGCACCAGGTCCTTCCTAGGGGAAGAACAACATCACCTACTTCTACCAGATTATCAATGTGGGCAGAGACACCTCAAACATGCAAATCATATTGTAAATCTACTTTTCAAGGATAGTATATAACTACTATATGTATCAAGTAGTTAGGAATTGAATACAAATTGAACCAAAAGTGAGCTAATTGATTTTGGAAAATGAAAACTTTAATGGCACTTTCAAGTTGTTTGGGAAGTTTACAGGGCAATGTCTGCAAAGAGAGTTTTTTATCCCAAACTGAAAAAAGAAATTAAAGAAGGAATCTCAGATGAGACTAGAACTAATTTGCCAACTTACGAATTCAGAGT